GCAGTTGGGCCAATGAAAACAATTCATGGCTTGTTATTGCATTGATTCAGAAATTGCATTTTGATTAGCAAGTATAAGAACATGCAATCACTGAAACACACAAACATGCAAAAACATGATACCACGAGGCAATAGCGTGTCCACTATCATCGTTTGATTTAAAAAATAACTATAATCCAAAAATCCTCCGTTGTACAAATAAATTTCTACTTACTTATTCAAATACGTACATGGAAATGTTTACGAATTGATACAAAAACGTATAATATACAAAAATTCCAGATATATGCATATAAAAACAAAACATTATGGATATATGCCTGGCAAAGATGTGAGACTCAAATGTTCCATTTAATCACTCTGGCTATGAAGAAGAATTTTTTTCGGAAAGTTGAAAATTGAGTTATTACATCGTTCATTGATTCGTGCGTAGTGTAGTTGGACCTGTGCATTAGTATTGAATTAGACTTTTTTATTTTTAAGGTCAGCGATCATTACAATGCTGTTAATATTATTAAACTTGTATCAGAAAAAGTTTTTAACCTACAGTTTCAAATAACAATTATTAGTAAAACAGTTTTATTACAATCATTTACAATATCGTAAACATACGCAATATTAATATAAGCAATGAATAACAATCTAGATAAGCTATCAATAGACTGGCAAACTGATGCGACAACAATCAGAAAAAAAAACAGAAGCAAACAAACTGAAAAATTGAAATTGAAACAAACTGACAAAAAAAGAAACAGACTAGCAAAAAAACAAACAAACAAAAACAACAAAAGCAAGAATTCCAACAACAACAACAGCAACAGCAGCAGCAGTGCCTTTAGGCATATTTTTATTTCCTTTTTCCGGTGGCCACATCATCATCATCACGTGACTATCGATCTTGATGGCCATTGGTTAAAATTACTTCCGCAATCGTGACGCAATTTCAAGTGGCACATATAATTATTTAAAAAGGGTTGATTTGATAAAAAAGTTTCTGAAAGGTTGGTGTAATGGGGTTCAATTGATAGAGCTGATTTGATGAAGTTGAATTGCTTAGGTTCATTCGTTTAAAGAAGTTCATTTGCTAGGGTTTGATTTGATATGGTTTCCTTAATGGGGTTGATTTGTTGAGCTGAGTGTTTACAATAACGGTGGTCATGGTGAGAGACCTGGTTTTTGATGTTGAAATATCCGCATTGATTTATATTTTTAGGGAATTTTAATGAAATAACATCATTGTCATAAATTGAAACAAAATCTTCTTTCTTCCAACTACAGCCGAAACGATGTAAAAGGCGGCAAGTCATCAAGTCAGCCAATTACTCCCTCTTTTTGAAAACAGGATAACACGATATACAACGACAACAATGATTAATTTTTGATGATTTTTAGTTGAAAAAAATAGAAACAGTAATAATAATAATAATGACATCAGCATTACATAATGACCCAGTTATAAATATGAGATTGTTGACATCAATATCACGCTACGACATCACGACATCACCAACATCAAAATCACACGAATTATAAACAGTTTAAAAAACACCTAGATAGCACAGCAGAAATTGTAAATAATAGTTTGCCCACAAACAAACAAGATGCCACAGAACATAAAACTATTAATTTAAAAAGCAGGAAACTCTGTAACAAGATGATTGATGGTTTGAATATATTGAAAGATTGATGTAATGCAACATGAAGGAAACTTCTTTACTAGATAGATGTTTTACGAATAAATGATAACAAAATCAAAATATACACGTTCAGAACATTAATATATATATATATATATATATATATATTATATATAATATATATATATATATATATATATATATATATATAATTTGGTATGAGGTTCTCAGATAAACATGTTCGGTTGAAGATTACACCCCATTTTGCAGTTAGAAGTTTTTTAAATAAAATTTCAACAACACGAAGCTGTTTTGTTTCACCTTTATTAAACTGTGAAGTTTGGCTGACGGCCGTTTCGGCT